TTAAATTGATTTGAGAGACAGAGCGGAAAGGAGAGAGAGAGAGAGAGAGAGAGAGAGAGAGAGAGAGAGAGAGAGAGAGAGAGAGAGAGAGAGAGAGAAATATCGATGTGAGAGAGAAACATCCACCAGTTGCCTGCCGTCCGTGCCCATATGTGCCCTGGGGATGGAACCCGCAACCGGGGTATGTGCCCTAACCAGGAATCGAACCCACCACATTCTGGTGTAGGAGATGATGCTCCAACCAACAGAGCCACACCAGCCAGGGCTGGGGACAAACTATCTTTAAAAAGAGGAAAAGAAAAATCTACTATTTTCCTTGTACATGGAAATTACATCCTTTATTTACAGCAACATTAATATAGGTGGCAAGAGACTTACTTCTTTCCCAGTATAAGAGAAATGAAGGAAATAAAACAAATTAGCTTTGAGCTTAAATGCCCAGCATTCTACCAACTTTTTTTTATTTCAAACATGTTACAGCTGACCTTTGAAAAACATGGGGATTAGAGATACCAACACCCCCACATGGTTATAACTCTTAACTCCCTAAAAACTTAACTACTAATAGCCTATTGACTGGAAGCCTTGTCGATAATATAAACAGTTGGTTAACATATATTTTGTATATTATATACTGTATTCTTATAATAATGTAAGATAGAGAAAAAATGTTACTAAGAAAATACATAAGGAAGAGAAAAATACATTTACAGGACTGTACGATATTTATTGGTATCATAAGTTTATAGTCTGTTTACAAAATGAATCATCTGTCAGTACCTACATCGCATTGTCTCGTATGATATATAGACACTGTAGACATTATATGTATTACTAACACTAGGCATCAAAACTGAAAAGATGGAGACATGTAATACTTTCAACAATAAACAATTATTTAAAAAGATAACATGAAAAGATTCATGCATTAATAACAAAGAAGCAGCAAATACGATTGTTTTATGGTAGCCTTGTGCAACTGATACAACTGCTTCACAATAGTAAGGAAATCTCTACAAAATTTTGATATATTTATGTTTTAAAATCCATGTATAAGTGGACCAGTGTAGTTGAAACCTATATTGTTCAAGGATTAACTATAGATTCATCTAAAATATTGATTTTGGAATCTTCAGTTCAAATCTAGCTTATCTGCTTAAACTTCTTTTAAAGTATTAATTAATACATCTAAATGTTGGAGATGATCACATTCCATACCTTCAGAGCTCTCTAAAACAGTGTAAGACTAATATTCAAAGTATTAGCCCAGCAATGGAATTACGACAGTTTAAATTTTTGTTCTGTAATTCCTTGTACTCTCTTCTTTCCTCATGTCTTTCAACTACATTCTCTGTATCTGCATGTGTAATAAACAACATATAAATATAGCTAAATCAATGAGACAACACAGAATAAAAGGGTTTTATATCTTTCCATTTCATTACAATTGGATCACAACCTCCATCCAAGAAGAAATTCCTTTGCCAAGGTTCAATTTTTATTTCTTACACACACTCAGACAATTAATAGTTGTTATTTTTTGCCTTTCCACATCAAAACAGCAGACTCACAATTCCTATATAATAAAAGCCTAATAAGCAAATTGACTGACCGGCAGAATAACCAGTCGCTATGATGCGCACTGACCACTAGGGGGCAGACGATCAACACAGGAGCTGCCCCTAGCCCGCAGGCCAGCCAACGTGGGTGCCACTGGGGGACTCCTGATTGTCCCGCTGGTTGCCCCACAGATCAGCCCTGATTGCTGGCCAGGCTTAGGGACCCTACCCGTGCATGAATCTCGTGCACTGGGCCTCTAGTGATATTATAAAAAAATAGCATAGGAATTCTAAATGATGTGGAATAACTTGTTGAAAGCCTTTTTACAAACAAGTACTTGTGAAAGATAACATATCAGCAAAAATGATGGTGTGAAACTTCTGAAAATTCTCTCCTCTGTAATTTTTACACTGGTAAAAATTGTGAGGATCAACAATTTCTGAACTGTGGGAGTTAATCAAAGGCTAAAAGCAATACAAGTAATGTTTATTAAAAGAAAATTGACTAAATCTTGGTAAAAAGAGTGGGTTTTGTGGTGTTTTTTAACTTGCCCTCCCACTCTCCGAAGCTCTGTGGTAGCCTTAAAACCCAACAGCTTGTAATCACAGTGAAAACCAGCAGCCTGGTATCCACGAGAGGTGGTAGAAGAGGGCTGATGCTCCTTCAAAGCCCCATTCTCAGAGAATTGCCATCATATAACCTGTCTGGTGGTTCCCTGGAAGACCTCACTCACAAGACTAACTTTATTTGACCTGAATTAGAGCTTGCCCTGTAGAAAAAGCCTAATACAGACAGTCCTCAGGTTACGTCGGACTAGACATACGTTGTTTCGTGGTTATGTTGCCATCTCCCATTTATTTATAAAAAAAAAAAAGTTCCGTCATTTCGATGTATGTACCTATGTGCTTTATGTTTTTTATTATTTATTTACCACAAGTAAAGGTCAGGAATTATCTTTCTTTTAAATTTTTTTTGCTGTTTGACTTCATTACTGCTATGTATGTGCTCCATGTGAGTGACATAGGTGCTTATGTAGGTGGGTTCCGACTTACGGCGAAAATCGCCTTATGTCGCATCGCACCGTAGGCTAATATGCAAATCAACCATATGGTGGATGGACCTGTCGCTATGACGCGCACTGACCACCATGGGGCAGACGCTCAATGTAGGAGCTGCCCCCTGGTGGCCAGTGCACTTACACAGGGGGAGCGCCGCTCAGCCAGAAGCCCGGCTCATGGCTGGCGAGAGCAGTGGCGGTGGTGGGAGCCTCTCCCACCTGTGGCAGCGCTAAGGAGGTCCAACTGCCAGCTTAGGCCTGCTCCTGAGCGGGCCTAAGCCATCAGTCAGACATTCTCTGAGGGCTCCCTGACTGTGAGAGGGTGCAGGCCAGGCTGAGGGACTTTCCCCTCCCCCAAGTGAATGAATTTCATGCACCAGGCCTCTAATAGGAAAAATAAAGAATAAAGAAAAATGAACAGAGTTTTAGAGAGCAATGGGACACCATCAAATGTGCATAATGAGAGCCCCAGAGGGAGCAGAGAGAAAGAGGCAGAAAGAATATCTGAAGAAACGATGACCAAATATTTACCAAATTTATCAAAACATTCAACAAGCTCAATGAACTCCAAAGTGGCTAGTCAAATGGACCCATACCTAAAAACATCATAATCAAGCGATGGAAAGACAGAGACAAAGAATCTTGAAAGCAAAATAAAATTTAGATACTCTCCTGAAGGTTGCCTACAAATGTACCTGAGGGAAATAGTGTGGTTTTAAGATGAGACTTCCAAGTCTTAGTTCTGTCATGTACCCCTTTGGAGGTGAATCAGTTGAATATATATATTTTTTGTTTTCTTTTTAAATACGTTTGTATTGATTTAGAGAGAAAGGGAGAAGAGAAATATTGATGATAAAGAAACATCGATCGGCTGCCTCCTGCACTCCCTCTACTGGGGATCGAGCCTGAACCTGGGCATGTACCCTGGTCAGGAATCAAACCTGCGACCACTTGGTGCATGGTATGATATGCTCAACCAACTGAGCCACACTGGCCAGAGAGTTAAGTATAAATTTGATATAACTCATAGGGGATGGTTTTTCTCCCTTTATAATCTTTGGGGCTAACAATCAACCAAATTCTCCAATCCAGTTGAATGTTTGGTCTCCTACATCACTCTCAAAGCAGCAACAGATTAAAAAATAAAGTAACAAATTCTCTTTTGCAGGGAAAAAAAAGTATCATCAATTGATGAGTAATTATGGCTTTTATGTGAGAATGTTCTTTCAGGTACTTGAATTAAAGGCTTAACTTACCTAAGGTAACTAATTAAGAGTTTCTTAAGAGCTATTACTTTTTGTAGCTCACTCACAAGAAAATACTAAGACATAGTGATATTTCAATTTAAAAAAAAGTAAATAAAGATAAAAATTTTAATCTCAATAATAGACCTAAAGTATAAATTTGACTCTCTTTTTCATTAACTTAAATCAAGGACAGGTACTAAGATAGTCATACGTTTTCTCTTAGTATTAGAAATGAGGGTAACCATAAGGTTCCTGATTTATTTCTCTTCTTTATAGCTCACTAGTATACTAACTCTCTCCAAACACTGTAACTTTGCTTTTTGCATTTATATATTGTCATCATATTGAATTATAACAAATCACTTTGGAAATACAATAGAAGAAGAATAATAGAATACATGCTCAAAGTCCTATCATTTTCTTATTTTTAGGGCATTACATCATAAAAATTCAAACTGGAAGATAACTGAATAGTTTTTATCCTTGTTTCTAGATAATGATGCCTAGGGGAAAAAAAGGAGAGGATAAAATATCTTACTCAAGATCAGGCAAATAAAACTACAGTTGATGGTGGGGGCTTGCCTGGGCTGGGAAGGGATGGGGGGGGGGGGATCAATTGGGGGAAAAGGAAACATATGTAAAACTGCAGACAATAAAAAAATAAAATAATAATAATAATGAAAATAAATAAATAAAATCTTCAAAAACAAAACAAACAAACAAACTACAGTTGATTACTGAACCACAAGCTTGAACTGCCCGGTGCCACTTAATAGTATATGTGGATTTTTGATCCGTTTGGGATTCTGCAGATGCAGAGGGCCACTGCATGCACTGATCTATGCCATTTTATAGGGGACTTGAGTATCCTCAGGTTTTGGTATGTGCAGGGGGTCCTGGAACCAATACCGAGGGACAACTTAAATTTTGGGGAAATAAAAATTATCTGTGAATTTTTGACTGCATGGAGTTGGGAGTGTGGGTTGGTATTCAAGGGCCAACTGTGTAACAACTTCAAAACACCAAATATAAATGAATGAATAACAATACTGGGACTAATGCCCATGGCAGAGAAAAGCTTATCTGAGTGGCCTCTAGTTTTCATGATATGTATTCATAGATTATCCCAAACTAACCTGTGATGATAAGACATTCATTGTGATCCAGCACCTCAGTAAAGAGCCGTGAAACAATCAACTCGGGGTTGATTAAAAAGCGAATTTCTTCTTGCACAAGTCCAGCACTGGTTACACCACCTCCAACAAAACGGTTTGCAAAATCCACCTATTTGGAAAAATGTGGCATGTTAAATGATGATCTAAAATACCTACATAAATGATACACAAGTATACCACCTCTAATCTCTAATCTTGCTTTCCTTTCCTATATAAATCAACCCCAAGTTAGTAATCTTTTCAGGAAGAATAGGTTGTGGTTGCCTGCACTCTTTCCACCTCACTGCAGTTAACATCTCTTCGTATTTCTTTAGATCTAAAACCTTAGAAGGAACCTAGAAAATGGAGCTTTTAGGCAAAAGACTCAATGTAATTATATGGATTTTCGTTTATAAACCGTTTGTGTTCCAAGGACCACAAATCAAGAAAGGCTGTATCTGGAAAGTTCTCTAGATCATTTCCCCACCATTCACTACTCAATTTCCATTTATGTATTGCATAGACTTTAATGTAACTATACCTTTCTTATATAATATGGCAATCAAAAACTTGTTCTTAAAGAACTTTAAAGTTCAGTAATTGACCTTTTTTGGGGTAAACTTTCCTTCTATGGTAGAATAAAGGGGTAGGAACTTTGTCCTTCTAAATTCAGTTGCAAACTCCCAACTACATGAACATTACAAACTATTTTTTAAAAATATACCTAAGGAAATAAATGAAGAACAAAACCTAGTTTAACAATAAAGATTCAACAAAATATTTCCAATTTAGTTTAAAACTATACATAAGCTTCCTGTGGAATACTAAGATTGGATCCTCAAGCTCCTATTAATAATGGTGATTATACAATCCTCAAGAGAAAGCAAACTCAACTTGCCATCATTATTTGTTTGTCTTAGACTTACTAAGCACTCCAAGATGTCATACAACGCTAGGAATTATGAGGAAATATGTAAGAAATGGTTTCCAACTTTGCCTTAGATTACTCTATTTGAGGAGTTATATTACACACTTATATACAACTGTGCACACACATAACCATACCCATACAAAAAAAACCCAGAATTCAGTTAAGTAGTGTTAAGAGAGGCTTATATACTGTGTAAGAAAACCACATTCCTGTATCTCCCCTTTAACTTCACACTGCTACCAAACTCACTACACTCTGACACCAAATGTGTGATATTGGACACATCAAGCAATTCTGCGACACCACCTAGGTGTCCAATTCAGTTTTGACACTATCTGCCTAGCATTAGCATCGGATTTCAAAAGCTAAGGGTTCAGTCCCACAAGACTGCCCAACGTCAGATGCCAATCGTAAGTCCTAACTTCTAGTTGACTGCTTAATAGGGGTTTCCATGACCCCCTCCTGGGGTTTGATAATTTGCCAGAGGAGCTCACAGAACTCAAGATAATGCTCACTTACATTTACTGGTTTATTACAAGGTTATAATAAAGGACACAGGTGAACAGCAAAATGAAGAGATACACAGGGCTAGGTATTTGGGAAGGGGCACAGAATTTCCAGGCAAGTCATTCTTCCCACAAGTCACTCACTCTCCTAGTACCTCCACATGTTCACCAACCTGGAAGCTCTCTGAATTCCAGACTTTTGGGATTTTTATGGAAGCTACAGCATGTAGGCGTGATTGATCATGAACTCAGTCTCCAGTACCATTCCCTTTCCCAGAGGACGAGAGGTCAGGTAGAGAGTTCCAAACTTCTAAGCATGGCTTTGGCTTTCTGGTGACCAGCCCCGTTCCTGAAGCTATTCAGGAGTCCACCAAGAATCACCTCATTACAACAAAAGACACTCACTCCTGTGACACAGAAAATTCCAAGGGATTTAGGAGCTCTGTGTCAAAACCAAAGACCAAATCCTATATAATAAAAGTGTAGTAGGCAAACTGTCTCCTCTACCAGGAGTTAGTCCGGGAGTTTGACCAGGGGGCGGGGCCAGCTGGGGGAAGGGAGGGAGGCCCTGGCGGCAGCAGGCAGCCAGGAGAAAGGAGGGAGTGCCCAGGCAGCAGCTGGCAGCCACTAGGGACCCTACCAGTACATGAATTTCGTGCACTGGGCCTCTAGTATTAGAATACAAGATGCTCCTTGTGCTCTCATTACTTACATAGCTACCCGGGTTTTAGGAGCTCCATGCCAAAAGCTGGGGCAGAGACATATAAATATATATATTTTTTATTATTATTTTACATATCTTTTCAAATATAAGATTTCTTAAAATTTGTTCTCTAAAGCAATTATGACATTAAATGATAATCTGAAACCTATTTTACAAAAGAGTAAAACAAGAATATGAATCTTTTGATATGGAAAAATATGAGAAAAGACAGAAATTAACAGAAGGCAAAGTATTATTTAAGTATAGAAGAACTTGGAAAACACTGAAAATTACAATTAGACAAGTTCTTGAGATGAGTTACCACAGAGAATCATATACATTTGGATTTATATTCTGGCATACTAAATCAATGCTAAAAAACAGTTACTCTTTAGCTATCATAGAAAAATTAGAGGCCTGGTGCACAGATTCGTGCACACTAAAAGCAAATTAATTAGAAGGTGGCTGGCGGGGTGGGACTGAGCGAGACGAACCAGACACACCCTGGAGCCAACCTCCCATGGCCCCTCCCTGGCCAGCTGCACCTGCGGCCATCTTCTTCTTCTTTTTAAAAATATTTTATTGATTTTTTTACAGAGAGGAAGAGAGAGGGATAGAGAATTAGAAACATTGATGAGAGAGAAAATCGACCAGCTGCTTCCTGCACACCTCCTACTGGGGATGTGCCCGCAACCAAGGTACATGCCCTTGACCAGAATCGAACCTGGTACCTTTCAGTCCACAGGCCGAGGCTCTCTCCACTGAGCTAAACCAGTTAGGGCACTACCTTCTAATTAGTAGCAAGTGCCACCTGTGGTTTGTAGGTCGTCTGCAGAGTGCGCGGGGTCCCTCTGGCAGGTAGGGTCCCTCGGTCTGGCCTGCGGGGATCAGGCCGGAACCAACAGCCCAACATCCTCTGAGGGGTCCCTGAGTGCAAGAGGGCATTCTGCAAAGTTACTGTTACTCGGCAGCTCCTGCATTGAGTGTCTGCCCCCTGGTGGTCATTGGGCATCATAGCTACCAGTTGGAAGGTCAAACAGTCAGACCAGCAGTCGCCAATCGGTGGTCCCTGGACTACTGTCTGTCTGTGAGGTCCGAAAGGTTGGTGACTGCTGGTTCAGACAGTCACTTAGGCTTTTATATATATATATATAGATAATTTTAGTTAAACTTGTCCATTGATTAGAATTAGTTACCTACTACATAATGAGGTCTTTATGCACTGGGTGATTTATGGCTTAAACTGTTCAATTCAACAAATACTGACTGAATCTTGTGCTGGGAATCATAGGATGCAAAGATGAGTAAGACAGTTTCAAAGCATTTACAATCTACCCAGGAGTCAGGCACATAAGCAGAATGATAGAATAATTATTAAAGAACTTATTAGCACTAAATTGATAATGCCTAAATAATATATATATATATGAAAGCCTAAGTGACCATTACAATTGAACAACCAAAATGACCAGTCACTATGATGTGTACTGACCACCAGGGGGCAGACGCTCAATGCAGGAGCTGCCCCCCTGGTGGTCAGTGCACTCCTGCTGGGCTCATGGCTGGCAAGCACAGCTGCGGCAGCGGGAGCCTCTCCCGCCTCTGCGGCAGCACTACGGAGTGGCAGCACGGCCAGCGCAGTGGGGCGGGATGAGCGGCAGCAGAGCTGTGTCCAGCCCCAGCTAGGGCTCCTCCCCAGCCGCCTGCTGCTTTGGCACTGCTACATCCCTCGGGGGGATGTCGGACTGCTGGGTTCCGGCCCGATTGCAAGAGGGCACAGGCCAGGCTGAGGGACCCCACTGGTGCATGATCCCATGCACTAGGCCTCTAGTACAATGAAATAAAATAAGCATGGGAAGGAGAATAGAGAGCATTACAAGAGGACGTGTCATTCAATCTGGATTTTGCTGATTTTCAGGCTGAGGGACATAGGAGAAACCAAAAGTAAGGAGCTGTCTGAGGAGAATGGAAGCAGACTCCTCATGCGTGTTTGTAATGTAGAGTATGGGGAGGGTTATAGTGGTGATGAAGTGATCTGGGGTCCAGGAAATTTTTACTTAATTCTGAAGGTTCTAGAAAAGATTCTAAAAAAGAAAAGTAACAACAAAGAACCTGGACTTTAGGAAGATAATTCAGGGTAAAGTTTAAAGAATAAACCGAAAAAGTATAAAATTAAAAGTGGAGGCTGATTAGGTGACTACTGGATAGTTTATACAAGCTATATTAGTTCCTCAAATAGGTCAGTGGAAGGAAAGTGAAGGAAAGAAAGAGAGATGCAGCAAAGAAATAAAATGGACAGCACTTAAAAATTGAGAGACTAAGTATAATGGTATTATAAATAAAAATAAAAAACAAAGAAGGTTTGAGATTAGCAAAACTTAATTTTTACTGGAACGAGGTAAATAATCAAAATAGAAAGATAAGCTCTACCCAACTTATGTACTACTTGGTAATGATAAATGAAATACATTCTGTGTACATGCTATAATAAAAGGCCAACATTTATTACTTGATAGTTATTCACACAAATACACTAAACTCAATATGCCTGAAAGCAGGAGGAGTCTTTTAGAAAATCAAAGTTTCTACTACATAAAAAGTTCCTAATAAAAGGCTACTACAGGTGAGAAACTGGTTCCAGTACATGAAAACAGCATGTGAGTGCTTCTTTATTTTTAGCTAGTCATTTTCCAACTCACTTTAAAGCTACTTGTTCAGATTACTCAGTGTCTGAATTATAACTTGATGAAAAGCGAGAAATGATAACACTCCTTAGAGGTTTTGTTGTTGTTGCCATTCAGCATAATGTAATTAGTATGCTACACAAGAAGCTTTGTGGCACTGCAATACAATATTCCCTGACCTCCTGGGGATACATGGCATGAGGAGGGAGCACAATTAATAGAAGCCTTTATGGTATTCTCTTAATCTACTGAGGTTTCATATTTCTTCTATAATATGTTCCAGGAAAGTGGGGAGAATCTCAACTTTGAATGTTGTTAAGTAATTCCTTGTTGAATTGTGCTGTAATGAAAGGTCAGCATTCCTGCAGTGCTAACTAGCAGGAGCTTTGTTAATTTTTGTGTGCATTAAGACTCCCTCAGTTAACACAAGACTTTAACGTAGGAAAGAATGTCATCAAGATGAAAATGTGGGAAAAAGTGATATTCATTTGAAACAAATTTTAACCATATTTTAAAATTATTGTTTTAAATAGAAAGGTACTGATTAAATACAAATTTAAAACAAATTTTAAGTATAGGACAAATATTAATTCAGTTATCCTAAGCATTTTTATTAACTCAAACTAGAGGCCCAGTGAACGAATTCGGGCACAGGTGGTCCTTGGCCTGGCCAGCGATCGGGGCCGATTGGGGCCGTCTCGCCCAGTCCCGATTGGGGCCAGCCAGCTAGGGGGAGGGACCACGGGAGGTTGGCCCGCAAGGGGGAAGGAGGGGGACCGCGAGAGGTTGGCTGTAGAAGCGCACTGACCACCAGGGGGCAGCTCCTGCGTTGAGCATCTGCCCCCTGGTGGTCAGTGCGCACCATAGTGACCGGTTGTTTAGGCTCTTATATATATATAGACTAATGGCCCGGTGCACGAAATTCGTGCAGGGGTGTGGAGGGTTCCTCAGCCTGGCCTGCACCCTCTACAATCTGGGACCCCTCGGGGGATGTCCGACTGCCGGTTTAGGCCCATAGGGATCGGGCCTAGACTGGCAGCCAGACATCCCTCTCACAATCCGGGACTGCTGGCTCCCAACCGCTCACCTGCCTGTCTGCCTGATTGCCCCTAACTGCCCTCCCCTGCTGACCCGGTCGCCCCCAATTGCCCTCCCCTGCCGACCCGGTCGCCCCCAATTGCCCTCCCCTGACGGCTTGGCCCCCCTTAACTGCCCTCCCCTGCAGGCCTGGTCGTTCCCAACTGACCTCCCCTGCCAGCCTGGTCGCCCCTAACTGTCCTCCCCTGCAGGCCTGTTTCCGGCCCCCCCCCCCCCAACTGCCCTTCCCTGCTGGCCTGGTTGCCCCCAACTACCCTCCCCTGCTGGCCTGGTCGCCCCTAACTGCCCTCCCCTGCCAGCCATCTTGTGATGGTCAATTTGCATATTACCTCTTTATTATATAAGATTATTGTATTATTTTCCATGCAAACAACTGCAAACCTACTTTTGCCACACTCTGTAAATGCAACAAATAAGGACTGAAGAAGAAAAATCAGCCATTCCCACTATGAGATGATACACAAGATTCTTTCAGAGAAAATTGATACTACAATGCTCTTATAAATGGGATAAGAACAAAAGTCACTAACATTTTCTCTTATTAGTGATTGTAAGTAAAAATCACTTTAAAGCAAAGGAAAACAGGTATTCAGGTTAGGTCAGGGGTCCTCAAACTTTTTAAACGGGGCCAGTCCACTGTCCCTCAGACCGTTGGAGGGCCGGACTATAGTTTAAAAAAAAACTATGAACAAATTCCTATGCACACTGCACATATCTTATTTTGAAGTAAAAAAACAAAACGGGAACAAATACAATATTTGTATTTGCATTTGCATGTGGCCCGCGGGCTGTAGTTTGAGGTCCCCTGGGTTAGGTTTTATCAATTTAAAGCTAGATACACAGGGTGTTTTACTTGTTGACACCTTTTCTCAAAAATATTATTTTAAATAAAGGCAGTAACACAAAATAATAACAAAGATTGAGAGATGGACAAAATTACCTGCTCTACAACTGAGAAAAGACAGCAGATCTACAACAGAGAAAAGTCAGCAAGCATAGTGGGTTCACGTGCCTATAATGATTACATATGGGAGAAAGGACTTTCTTATCAATCAGTTTTAGACGTCTGTCTCCTAAACCTAAACAAGTTTGGTGGCAGAAAAACATCTCAAGCTGGTCATCATTTAGGGCAGAGCAAGAGCCTTTAAAGAAAAAGAACAAAACCGTCCTGTGACAGCTTGTCAAGACCATACCCTGGGAACTTCATCCACTGTCAATCCACAATCTATGTCTGAACCAAGAGGTCTGATGTTGTCCAGATCTTGGGATTTACTGTCAAAGGCTTTTTAAAAAAGAGGTTCATGTAAGAAACAGAGAGTGTATGCTGGCAAGTAACAATATTACCACAGCTGTCAAGATGATCTGTTTGGTGTTTTTCTCCATTCTGCTATCGTGCTTCTTTGCATTAAATCAGAAGATAAATAAACAGCTTTCAAACGCTTTTTGCTGTCAAAAGCTTGACAAAAGTCCCAAACACAAGCATGCTGCTGGGATTCACCCACCTGTAGCATGCCTTGACCATTTCCTTCTATGGTACCTTCATAAGTGACATGCAGTCGAGTCAATGGTTTTTCACACCTATAAGGAAAAAAAATTCCCTTATTTATTTTTTTAATGACAGGTATTCACTACAGAAGAATTTTAAAATATAAATGATCTATTAAAAAATTTGAAAGCACTCCAAATTTCAAAAGCCAGAAACAGATGCCTACTGTTAACATTCTTGGTACAGAAACAAACATTTTCAAATTCAAATATATAAATATACATTTTTAAATTAAAATGATATAATATACTTTTTTGAAACCTGTTATTCCCTACAAAGTATCAAAGTCTTTCCTCTTTAAGTGTTGAAAACTTAAAATATAAAAGAATTAAGATCTATAAAATTTTATTATTATCCTAGAGTTGACAACCGAATAAAAAATAAAGAAAAAGTTGGTAATAAATCACATATGATTCTCAGATGGGCTCTATTTTCACTAGTTTGATAACTGTGTGTGTCGGGGGGATATGTCTTGATGAAAATATATGCCACAGAAATTCTGATCTATAGTATTTTTATATTAATAAAATTGATAGATGAGCCTACTACCGGTAAGTCACAATTATTTTCTTTCATTTCCATACACCATGGTCACTAAGGTGTTTATGAAGTTCAGGACACACTACACCTTAGCATATTCAATATTTTAAGTGGAAGAGGTTTGAGAAAACAGCAGAAGAAGGTCACTTGAACCTCCCTTCTTCCCTGAAACAGGCTATGAACCCTCATGTGAGAGGTACCTTCCTTATACCCAGAGGAAAACAGCATCCTTATCTTTAAACACAAAGGGATCCCAAAAAGAATCCAAGCAAAGACAAAGGGGCCATGGTATCTCCAACAGTTTACTATAATTGCCTCCTACCCCTCAATCCATCCACAACTGTCTACTCTCCATCAAACCTAGCCTAAAAGTACAGATGTCTATTTCTTTAGGTCTTCCTTTCCTTATGAAGGCTCCCATGTCATGTAAACTTATATAAAATAAATTTGTATGCTTTTCTCCTGTTAATCTGTTTGGTCAGTTTAATTTTCAGACCCAAGGAAAAACTTTTTTCTTCATTAGAGTGTTTATCAGGCTTACATTATATTAAAAAGCCAATTCCATTTGATTAGTTTCATGATGACATTTTTCCTTAGATTTTTCCCTATTAGTTATTATATAAAAATATAAATTATAATAGAATGTAAAAGATGAAACCCAAACTCCTAACTTTTATAAGGGTGGCATTAATTTGGGAAGGGGGATACGGGAATTTATACACACACACACACACACACACACACACACACACTAGAGGCAGTTGCAGGAAGATTCCTGCAAGAAGGGGGCTTCCTTGGGCCTATTCCTGCAAGAACAGGGCTTCCTGAGGCCAGAGCGAAGCCGAGAAGGGAGTGAAGCCCGCCCTTCTCTGCTGCCTCGCTCCCTCCTGTCTCTGCTGCCTCGGCTCTGCTCCTGTATCCGCTGCCTCGGGACACTCCATCGGCGGCGGAGCAGCGAGGCTGGATAGCCGCCGGAGTGGGCAGATCGTGCCTCGCCGCTCGGCCCCGCAGCCCCTGGCCAGGTCGACAAGCCCGAACAATCCAGCGGCCCTCTGGCAGGCCGGGAGCCCTTGGGGGATGTCCACTTGCCAGCGGGAAGCAGGCCTAAGCTGCAGTCGGACATCCTTAGGGCTGCTGAGGAGGCGGGAGAGGCTCCCGCCACGACCGCTGTGCTGGCAGCCGTCAGCCTGGCTTGTGGCTGAGCAGAGATCCACCTGTGGGAGCGCACTAACCACCAGGGGCCAGCTCCAGCATTGAGCATCTGCCCCCTGGTGGTCAGAGTGTGTCATAGTGACCAGTCATTCTGCTGTTAGGGTCAATTTGCATATTACCCTTTCATTATATAGGACTAGAGGCCCGGTGCACAAAAATTTGTGCACTGGCAGGGGGGGTGTGTCCCTCAGCCCCACTTGTGCCCTCTCACAGTCTGGGACCCCTCGGGAGATAATGACCTGCTGGCTTAGGCCTGCTCCCAGGTGGCAGAGGGCAGGCCCAATCCCTAGGTGCCTGCCCCGCAGCCCCTGGTCGGGCTCAGAGCAGGGCCAATTGGGGAGTTGGGGCGCCTCCCCCTGTCATGCACAGAGCAGAGCAGATCGGGAGGTTGCCATGCCACCCCCAGTCACGCTCAGGGTAGGCCCAATTAAGGGGCTGGGGTGCCGCCCCCTGTCACACTCAAGGCAGGGTCGATGGGGAGGTTGTGGCACCACCCCGTCATGCACAGAGCAGGGCAGATCGGGGGGTTGTGGTGCCACCCCTATCACATACAGAGCCGGCTGATCAGGGGGTTGGGGCGGGGCCCCCTGTCACGCACAGAGCAGGGCCTATCAGGGGGGTTGGGGCTCCGTACCCTGTCACACACAGAGTAGGGCCGATCAGGGAGTTGGGGAGCTCCCCCCTGTCATGCACAGAGCAGGGCCAATCAGGGGGTTGGGGAGCTCCCCCCGTCACACTCAGGGCAAGGCCGATGGGGAGGTTGTGGCTCCACCCCGTCACACACAGAGCAGGGCCCATGGGGGGAGGGGGGGTGTTAGGGCGCTGAACCCTGTCACACACAGAGCAGGGCCCATGGGGGGGTTAGGGTGCCGCACCCTGTCACACACAGAGCAGGGCCAATCAGGAGGTTGGGGAGCTCCCCCCTATCAGGCACAGAGCAGGGCCGATCAGGGGGTTGGGGTACCTTCCCCTGTCACGAACAGAGCAGGGCGGATAGGGAGGTTGTGGCCCCGCCTTCTGTCACACACAGAGCCGCAGGGCGATCAGGGGGTTTGGGCGCTACCCCCTGTCACGCTGCTCCAGGGGCCAGGAGGCCTCAAAGTTCTGCTGATCCCGGTGCTGGGAGGCCTCGCGGTTCCGCTTGACACTGGGACAGTGAGGCCTTGCTGCTCCACTGATCCCGGTGCCAGGAGGCCTTGCGGCTCCACTGATCCCGGTGCTGAGAGGCATATTACCCTTCTACTATATAGGATAGAGGCCAGGAGCATAGCCCAGGGCTGGCCAGGGCAGGTGGGAAGCTTGGCTTTCTCCATCGCCTCCTTCTCGCTCCAGCTCCATGGCCACCGCGATCTTAGTTGGGTTAATTTGCATACTCAATCCTGATCGGCCGTTGGGTGTGGCTGGTGGGCGTGGCTTGAGCGTAGCAGAGGGATGGTTAATTTGCATGCTTCCCTTTTATTATATAGGAGATATATACATATACACACACACACACACACACACATATACATATATATATAATTTTTCCTATTGATTTTTAGAGAGAGAAAGGGAAGTAGGGAGGGGGGATGGAGAGAGAGAGAGAGAGAGAGAGAGAGAGGGAAAGGAAGATAGAGATAGAGAGAAACATTGATGTGAGAGAGACACATTGGTTGGTTGCCTCCTGCATGTGTCTGGACTGGGTCAGGGATCGAACCTGCAACTCAGGTATGTGCCCTTGAGTGGGAATCGAACCCACGACCCTTGGGTGGGCAGGCCAATGTTCTAAGCCACACTGGCCAAGGCAACAATTACATATTTTTAAAAACAGTTTAGCTGAGGAAGCACTATTTACTTACTGTGGCTTGCTTTTTTCCTGGTTTCAATGAGTCCAAATACATTTCAGACTGACAGCCTTAAACTCAGAAGGTAAGTCAATATATGTTCTGTTACAAGAGTTTAATTTGTATTAACTCATTTAATCCTCACAACCCTATCACTCCCTCCTTTCACAGATGGGAAAACAAGGCACAGAAAGCAGTCAAGTTACCTGCCCAAGGCTAGTAAATGAAGCAATAAAGATTTAAACCCAGGTAGCCTAAATCAATGGTTCAAGCTCTTAACCAGTATGCAATACTTTTAGAATAAATTACATTATAAATCTCTCATAAAACTGTATTATAAGTTTGACTTTTTAACTTTCTTTTAGGGGGGGAATCCCCACTTTCCTAGTCATTTTATTCCAAAGGAGACCACCTTTGAGGATACTACTGAAAAGCTAAAAAAGCATGATCCAGAAACCTCTGGTTTGTCAGTCAGGATTTCAAAACAGAAATCTCAACTGTTGTCAATGATTCTCTATGACTGAAGTTGTCAACTTACAGCACAGTTCTCAATAACATTATGAAATAGCTAAAAACGGGGCGGAGGTTTTGTTTTTTTAATATATATATTTTTATTTTAGAGAGGAAGGGAGAGAGAGAGAGCAATAGAAACATTGATGATGAGAGAGAATCATTGATTGGCTGCCTCCTGCATGCCCCCTACTGGGGATCAAACCCACATTCCGGGCATGTGCTCTGACAGAATCGAATCATGACTTCCTGGTTCATAAGATGATGCTCAACCACTAAGCAATGCCAGCAGGCAGGTTTTTGTATTCTTAAGCATCCTTCTAGCTTTTTAAAGCAGGTCTCTCCTTCTAGCCGTAGAAAATCCTCCATTTCACTGTTCCAGGAATCAAAGACACAGCCTATTCTGGCTGTCGGTGATTAACTAAGCCTGGCTAAGGGATTTACTGATAATCAAAAGGTTAACTATAACATGTCAGAAACTTGGTCATCAGAAAGCCTCTAACTTCCTGGCACCCATTTAGCCCCTTACTCTTGAAACACCAAGAATCCTCATCTCCTCTTCATCCTTCCTCTATAAGTGAATGCATGTTTCTGGTTCTGTGGAGTCTGGGAGATGGATATTAATTATATTCTCTAACTCACTTATAAAGCAACTAAAACAAAACAGAGAACAAAAAGCTAGAAAGGCTACCAAGTTAAATTCTGTCTATCAAAGTTAAGGGGAGTATCTTGATCGTATTTAGGGGCAAAATTATCTCACGGACACAACACCTTGCAGATCTCTGCATTTTGACCTATCCCTTCACTACCAGATGGCAATGTGTAAACGAGTGTACTTTCACATTAGAGTCAAATAAATGACGAATGTAGAGGCGATCCTGAGCTGAACTGAAAACAAGCCCTCTGAATGACTATAAAATCTACATGGAAGTGACATGAACAAAACATCTGTATTCCTATTACAGACTAATTGAAGATCTAAGAAGAGCAATCCTCTGTACCCTGACCTGGGCAGAGAACATAGCAGATTGTTACTTTTAGATCTAGGCACCATATTTTAAGAGGGGCCAATGGTCTGGGGTATGTAAATAGCAGAAACAAAGCATTTAGAATTTATATTATATGTGAAATAGAAGAAATGAGTAAGGTTTGTATGTACCTGTGTGCATTGTTAGAGGTGTGGTGAGTCAAGAAAGCATTAAGATACATGAAGGAAGGCTAAACGTTAAAGAAAATTAAATTTACTTATTGTAGCTCTAGAAGAACCAGGAATGGGAAGAGAGGGATTATTGGAAAGACAGACTTTTTTAGTGAATGACAGTATTAGATAATAACACAAGCAGCTGAGTGAGGTGAAGTTGTGTACTTCCCACCACTGAAGCTGTCTAGTCTCCACCTGTCATAGGTAGTATAGAGTTGACAATATTTTTAGTAGGCCCCTGGACCCAATGATTTCCTGGGATAACTTTAATCTCTAATATGCCATGACTCCAAAATGCTGTTCATGTTCTCTTCCTTTTTGGCTCAACTTTGCTTTTGTTTTTCTTCAGATGTTTGGTCTTTAATCCATTTCTCCCTATCAATAATCATCTCAGCCATGCCGTCAGCTTCCTAAAGTAAGCTTATTTTTCTTTCACCTTGCAAATAAACATGTTTGATGAATGAAGACACCATGGGAGAGCCACCTAAGCAGATGTGCCTTCTTAAGTTAACTCCCTTAAGAGTGAGTCTCTTTCATCACTTATTCCAAACAAAACAATTAAAAACTACAATAAAAATTATTAGACTTGCTAGCGTGGCTCAGCTGGTTGGAGCATAGTCCCGTGCACCAAAGGGTTGCAGATTTGATTCCCAATCAGGGCACATACCCAGACTGTGGGTTTGATCCCTGTCTGAGCTCGTATGGGAGGCAAGAGATTCTCTCTCTCTCTCTCTCTCTCTCTCTCTCTCTCTCTCTCTCTCTCTCTCTCTCCCTCCCTCTCAAAAATCATTTGCTGCAATCTTAACAAAGACATTTCCTCGGGTGAGGATTAAAAAAAATTTTATTAGAATGTGAAAATGAGAAGCAATGGTTAACCAGAATGCACACTCAAAATATGCATTTAGTATGCCTAGTCATGTCCTCACATGCATTGAAAAAGTCGATCCATTCTACTTTAAGTGCTTTGGAGATTTGCTCTAGACTAGGAAATGTGTTAACTATTCCAGGACACTAAAAAAAGTACAAATCTGATGAACTCAGATTGGTTATTATTCTCCTCAGTATTTACAGATAAATAATAAGAACAAAACAATAAATTAGCAACTTCCACAAAATTTGCCAATAGTACACATGGACAGACAAACCTCAAAATTCTTATCGGGCAAATTCTAGGTAACTACTATTTATATTTTAGTTTAATAAAAAAATTTTTCCCACCCTGGCCGGTTTGGCTCAGTGGATAGAGTGTTGGCCCACAGACTGAAGGGTCCTAGGTTCGATTCTGGTCAAGGGCATGTACCTCGGTTGCAGGCTCGATCTCAGGGTCCTGGTCATGGCGCGTGCAGGAGGCAACCAGTCAATGAGTCTCTCTCACATCGATGTTTCTCTCTCTCTGACTCTGCCCCTCCCTTCCACTTTCTCTAGAAATCAATGGGAAAAAATCCTCAGGTGAGGATTAGCAAACAAACAAACAAAAAATTTCTCAATCTTGTTCTCCAGGAAGAAAAGCCATAAAATATAAATACTAACCAAAAAAGGAGCTTATGAAGGAACAATAAATATTGGTGTTCCATTTAATATCAGTGCCTTCATGCACAAAACTCTACCTCTAAACAGGACTTTGTTTCAGAAGACAAAACTAAGGGAAAACAGTAGAAGAAGTCAAAGGGTTGCAGACTTTGATTCACAAGACATAACCTTTCTAACAATGAGAGCTATCTAAGGGTCTAACAATGGATTTTGTTAGGTTCTTATGAGAAGAAACTGCCTAGCAAAACAGCAATTAAGAGTTTGGAAAACATCTTTCCAGGGGCTGTAAAATAAAATCCTCTCATGGTAAAAACAGTTCTTCTAATTCCAAGATTGCAGCATTGTTTTTGTCATTACCTTTCCCACTCTGGAAAATCTTCAAGACTCTGTCTGGTAAATGTCACCAACCCAGTAGGTTCTACAAAAGCAATGAAAGAAAAACAAGTTTCGATTTTGAAAAGATTATACATATATTCAGTAAAAGAATGGGTCTAACAATGGCTATAAAACTAGTTTTGGAATACAAAAGAAGATTGATTTAAAATAATATTATCCTTACAGTAGGAACTCTTTCTATGAAATAGCATGTCCTCACTAAAACAAAAAAATACACAAACAGCAGCACAACAGGAGGATGTGAGTGCTGGTACTTTTTTAATGTCATTTTCTAAACTGCAAACACTTTTAAGAAATAATTTGGGGGAAAAGATGCAAATAGGTGTAGCTTACATAATAAAGACAAAAGTGGATTTTAATCTGTAGATGGACTCTTTCTCAAAGAAGAACTTTAACCCTACATCTAAAAGTTGGTGAATGTATACATATTTATGTTTTATAATGAAAAAAAATGTTTAGGATTAAAAAAAGAAAATTGTTGGCATGCCTTTGGAGGTGACATAGCCAAATCCAGGGCTTAGATGATATGCAATTGCTCTTTTTATAAGGTGCCTTAGGCGGAAGGAGGAATTACTGTATTCTAAATGATTAGAGAAGAAAGATGACATAGTTTTCAAGTAGCAATACATATAAGATCAAAACACAGTAAATTTTAAAGGATATGATCCTTTTTTGTTAGGTTTATTTTTTAACTAGTAGCAAAAGCAACAAATAAATCAGCTGGCCAAAAGTAATTTGTTTGATTCGATCAAAGAATAAACTAAAAAAGCCAGGCCATTTTTGTTTTCTCCTTTTGTTGTTGTTTGTTTTGTTAAGCTCTTAAGCAAAGAGAAATGTCAGGAACTATTAGGGATAATGGTGGTAGAGTTCCAATGAAAGCTTAGCAATCGTTTCATTCCTTTGAATGATTCTACATTTCTGTACTTTCAGTCACAAGCATTAATAACTCAAAAATCATATGGAGTATTTATATTAAAAAACAGAATTTTGTTAACATGAGTTATAAAATATTTAGATGTCTATCTTTAAGACAAATGGATAGCATATTTAAAACTCACAAGAGGTCAAACAATTCAAATACCAGAGAAGTAATTCTATTAATAGAAAACTAATGTTAGTATTATCAGTCACAAACATCAGTCAGTAAGAGAAGTAAGAACATTAAATGTCCTTCATATACACTAGGAAAGATCAAAAGAAATTCATAAATGAACACTACTGGCAAAGCAAAAGAAAAGGCATATAAACATGGTTCTTAAGATATCTATACTAATAAAAGGGTAATATGCTAATTAGACTTGATCTCTTCCAGACAAAGCCACAGTGGCGGGGGCCAAGGCAGAGGCGGTTAGGGGTGATCAGGCCAGCAGGGGAGCAGTTAGGGGGCCATCAGGCTAGCAGGGGAGCAGTTAGGGGGCAATCAGGCTGGCAGGGGAGCAGTTAGGGGGTGGTCAGGCTGGCAGGCAAGTGGTTAGGGGCGATCAGGCAAGCAAACAGAGTGGTTAGGGTCAATCAGGCAGGCCAGCAGTTAGGAGCCAGCGGTCCCAGATGGCGAGAGGGATGTCCAACTGCCAGTGGGATCGGGCCTAAACTGGCAGTCGGACATCCCCCAAGGGGTCCCAGATTGTAAGAGAGTGCAGGTTGGGCTGAGGGACCCTCCTCCCCCATACACAAATTTCGTGCACCAGGCCTCAATTAATAACAAAAACACCTTGAGAGCATGCCTATTGCCTTTCTTCCATAAAAAGGCACCGTTCATGCCAGAATAAGTTATTTTGGTTGATTAAATGTTTTCCTTAATAATTCAAAATATACACTGCATATGAATCATTAATTTTTAAATACTCCACCTATAAGATACTTTATTTAAAACTATATTGAAAATAATTTAATTCAGAAAGCCCTTTAAAATCTTTCAGTCTCAAGATCCTCATTACAAATATTGATGTTTGGCAACACTCAAAAGCTGGTCCTGATGGAATTGTATTTTATCAATTCTAAAAGCACATTTTTTCATGTATTAAATTTCTGAAAATGAAATACATCTTTCATAGTCCACGGTATCTATCCATCGCATTTGGTCTGGATTAAAGTCAAACCTTTCCAGAGAAGATGTGCATCTGCTTCTGCCATCATCTAAGGGCACCACCAACCTCAGATCAGTCTGAAGTAAGCCCTCTGTTGCAGGCTTTTGTGGATCACACTGGTAATATGACTTTGGACCCCAAACTTGATTCACATTCTCAGAGGATATTTTTTCCCCTCTCTACCCAGTGCCAACATTGGCAGTGGTTTGCTTACTGTCCCTTTTCTGCACAGCCAGGTTAACTCCTCATGTATCCTTAGACTAAGGGTGTAGACTTTTGGTGTGTCAGCTTTATCAGAGAGGTCTCCAACGATTCCCCATCCTGAGTGTTTTTTCCGTCTTAGTGGTACATAACATAATGGCACTTCCTACCATCTACAATATCCTAGATTTGATGAAATATATGGTACTTTAGGAGAACCAAGATGGCGGCATAGGTTAACGCCGGAGTTTGCTGCCTTGAACAACTACTTCAAAAGTGAAACTAAAAGACGGAACGGACATCACCCAGAACCACAGGAACGCTGGCCGAGTGGAAGTCCTACAACTAGGAGGAAAGAGAAATACATACGGACACTCAGAGGAGGCGCAGTGCTGAAGTCAAATTCTGAAGTGCGGAGTGCGCGGAGCGGGCTGGCGGCGGAGGGCGCGGTTGGCGTTTTCAATCGGGAGGGAGTCGCAGACTCTGAGCTCCAGATACGGGCGAGTCTTTAGGGACCCAGACTCAAACGGGAGAAGCGGGACTGTCTGGCTTCGGTCAGAGCGAGTGCAGCTTTCTCTCCGAGCTTTGCAGCGGGTGCTGGGACTCAGAGAGGCAGAGCCCCTGGGGACAGGACTGAGAGCCGCCATAACTGCTCTCTCCGGCCCACCCTGTTGACCCTGTGTGACCCGCCCCACCCAAGCCCTGCACAGAGGCATTTGCCGGATAGCCTCAGGCAAAGGCTAGATTAGCACCTCCCTAGAGGACAGAAGTTCTCTCACTGCTGACACAGCTGATTCTCATAGCCACTTGGCCTGGAGGTCAAACCCTCCCTGGTATTAGCTACAACAATCAAGGTTTAACTATAAGACTGCGCACAAAGACCACTAGGGGGTGCACCAAGGAAGCATAACAAAATGCGGAGACAAAGAAACAGGACAAAATTGTCAATGGAAGATATAGAGTTCAGAACCACACTTTTAAGGTCTCTCAAGAACTGTTTAGAAGCCGCCGATAAACTTAATGAGATCTACAAGAAAACTAATGAGACCCTCGATGTTATATTGGGGAACCAACTAGAAATTAAGCATACACGGACTGAAATAACGAATATTATACAGACTCCCGACAGCAGACCAGAGGACCGCAAGAATCAAGTCAATGATTTGAAATGCGAGGAAGCAAAAAACACCCAACCGGAAAAGCAAAATGAAAAAAGAATCCAAAAATGCGAGGATGGTGTAAGGAGCCTCTGGGACAGCTTCAAGCGTACCAACATCAGAATTATAGGGGTGCCAGAAGATGAGAGAGAGCAAGATATTGAAAACCTATTTGAAGAAATAATGACAGAAAACTTCCCCCACCTGGTGAAAGAAATGGACTTACAGGTCCAAGAAGCGCGGAGGACCCCAAACAAAAGGAATCCAAAGAGGACCACACCAAGACACATCATAATTAAAATGCCAAGAGCAAAAGATAAAGAGAGAATCTTAAAAACAGCAAGAGAAAGAAACTCAGTTACCTACAAGGGAATACCCATATGACTGTCAGCTGATTTCTCAACAGAAACTTTGCAGGCCAGAAGGGAGTGGCAAGAAATATTCAAAGTGATGAATACCAATAACCTACAACCAAGATTACTTTATCCAGCAAAGCTATCATTCAGAACTAAAGGTCAGATAAAGAGCTTCACAGATAAGGAAAAGCTAAAGGGGTTCATCACCACCAAACCAGGATTATATGAAATGCTGAAAGGTATCCTTTAAGAAGAGGAAGAGGAAGAAAAAGGTAAAGATACAAATTATGAACAACAAATACGCATCTATCAACAAGTGAATCTAAGAATCAAGTGAATAAATCATGTGATGAACAGAATGAACTGGTGATTATAATAGAATCAGGGACATAGAAAGGGAATGGACTGACTATTCTTGGGTGGGGGAAAGGGGTGTGGGAGATACGGGAAGAGACTGGACAAAAATCGTGCACCTATGGATGAGGACACTGGGTGGGGAGTGAAGGCGGAGGGTGGGGCGGGAACTGGGAGGAGGGGAGTTATGGGGGGGGGGGGGAAGAGGAACAAATGTAATAATCTGAACAATAAAGATTTAATTAAAAAAAAAAAGAAATATATGGTACTTTAAATACATTTCTTTTTCCATCTTTTTAAAAACAATCTTTTCTCCATAAATGTAAAAACACCTCAGTACAGCAGAGACAGACACGAAGGGCAAGTGGGTGGGTTTGTAATTTAATTGTTTTAAACCTCAAATGAACAGGACTGCTGCTGTCGCGCGGGATCCTCCAGAGACACTGGCTGCAAAGGTTCGACCTCCAGCTGGGATCTCCTAATGACCCTGTGGCTGAGCTCACTGCAGCGGTGGGGCAGGGGCCCCTGAGCAGTGACAGTGGACAATGAGCCCTTGCCATCCTAGCGGTGCCAGACCTGGGTCTCCTCTGACTGGCTGGTGGGAGGTAGACCCTGCCCATCGATGTATTGAGGTGGATGTAGGCTATTCAAGCTGTGTCCTCTCCCATCACATGGGCATGTGGGTTCAAGATGATGGCATGAATGCACTTGCTGTTCTTGGACAGAAGATTCTCAAAGCAAAACTTACGGAATTCATTCCCTCCACAAGGTTACCAAGGCCTTCAGGCTCAAAAGAAGTGAGTCCTGGATTACAAATCTTTGTGCAGGCCTCAAAATCTCCATTGTTGATGGCCTCAATCAGTTGTTCTGTGATTTGAATGATCTCCTGTTTTCTCATATTGAGATCCTTATCTTCAGTGGTGGTGTTGCAGTTCTCTGTGGAGTCCTTGATCCCATCTGTAATGTTACCCACCATAGTGGTTTATGGCGCCTTGTCACCGCCACCCGACCTCTTGCTCAATAGGCTTTAGGCAGCTGAAAAGTTCCTGAAGACAAGTAATGGTCATGAGGATGCCACCCTTCAGTTTCCTAGGGCACTGAACTTACGCAAGCACTCCGCAGTCTCCTGATGATGTATCATGGATACCACCGTGGACCGTTAGCAGAACCATGGATGCTTAAGAGCCTGGTCAGCTGAGATATGTTTTGCAGGGTTGTGGTTAGCATCTGGTTGATCAGTTCTTGGCTTCAGGGGTCACTGCCCCACTCTGGATAGGAAATCATAAGCTCCAGCCTTGATCTGCTGATATAGCTTCTGTTGGTCCTCATCCTGAAAGAGAGGATATCCCACCAGCAGAATATACAAGATGACTCCACAGACTCTGAAATCCACTGGTTTTCTATAGGGATCTTTCCTTAAAACTTCAGGGGACAGCCCTAGCTTGTTTGCTCAGTGCATAGAATGTCGGCCCACAGACTGAAGGGTCATGGGTTCAATTCCGGTCCAGGGCACATACCTCAGTTGCAGGCTCGATCCCCAGTCCTGGTCAGGGCACATGTGAGAGGCAATCAATCGATGTGTTTCTCTCACACAGATGTTTCTCTCTCTCTGTCTCTTCCCTTCCCTTCCACTCTCTCTAAAAATCAATGGAAAAAAATATCCTCAGGTGAAGATTAACAACAACAAAAAAGGCTTCAGGAGACATGTAAGCTGAGGTGCCAGCAAAACCAAAGTAAGCCTGCTGTTCTCCCTGTAGTTGGATGGCTAGGCCAAAATCAGCCAGCTGCCCGAAGCATCTTTGCTTTTACACACCAGCAGCAGTTTCTCGGGCTTCTGGTCCCAGTGGACAATGTCACGCTGGTGGATGTAGTTAACGCTCTCTAAAATCTGATGTAAATAGTGGCTGGCATCAGCTTCATCGTAGGATTCTTTGGATATGATGTCTACAAACAACTCTCCACCAGTAACAAGGTCAAACACAAGGTAGTGAAACCCTTTTTCTGAAATACTGTGATGGGAATGCACAATGGATGTCTCAAAAGTCAATATATCCAGGCCTCACGGTCTAGTTTCTGGTGATCCCGGACAGACCAACTTCTTGGTATTGATTTTTGCTGCATACTGCTGCATGGAGGTTTTCTTCACACACCTGTGGACCACAGGAAAGCACCTTTGCCAAGCTCCTTGAAGAGCTGGTAGTTGTCGGTGAGTGTAGCCCATGCTGACATTGGTGCACAGTCACCATCACCCCACCAAGGGACCAAGAGGAGGAGACCTAAATACATTCCTATAGTTTCTATTCAGTAGACTCTAGAACTTCTATATAAGGTAATTATTAAACTGCAAACCTCTTTTATTCCACTTAGTATTTCCTCCTTAAGCCTGTAGCTTTACATCCTGAAAACCTATAGCATGTTTCTCTATATTTCTACAAAGAACTACATTACCACATATAGTAAAAAAGCCAGAACATAAAATGTCTAATTACAACTTATTTTTTCAGTGTGATTAATTTCTAACACTTAGGATGGTTTATAAATTTCTAGTTGAAAAAAAGAAAAACACACAAAACTTTAGCCTGGCCAATGTGGCTCAGTGGTTGAGAATCGACCTATGAACCAGGAGGTCATGGTTTGATTCCTGGTCAGGGCATATGCCTTGGTTGTGGGCTCAATTCACTGTAGGGGGCGTGCCAGAGGCAGCCGATTAATGCTTCTCTCTCATCATTGACACATCTCTCTCTCTCTCTCTCTCTCTCTCGCTCTCTCGCTCTCTCTCTCTCTTTCTCCCTCTTCCTTCCTCTCTGAAATCAATAAAAATATATTTAAATAAAACTTTAGCTTTTTTCCTCAAATTATTTAAAATCCTAAAATGTAGAAAGGCAAGTTAGCTTTTCTACAGGAGACATAGAGAAGCCTAGAGAAGATATACATGATTCGACTCCAAGGACAGAAAAGTAAACACTGAATTACCTAAGTATAATAATGAAACTCATTCTATTTAGATTTAGAATAACAAAAAAGTACTTTTTTCTAACAAGTTATTACAAATTTTAATTTGGTGTCATGTATCATAGCGTGAATGAGCCTTCATTTTCCTTAATATTTTATTCTGTACCAAGCACAAAACTAAAAATTGATAAGCTAAGAAATAAATAAACCCGTCAAAGAAGCATATAAAAATTTTCCCTTAAATTCCCAAATCCTAATAATTGATTCCTTATAAAAAAAAAAGGGGGGGGGGACAATGTCCAATAGCAATACACTGGGGGGGGGGGGGAGGTGCCAATTAAATATACTATAATGAGAGATACTGACAAAAGGAAAAAAATGACCTTAAAATGATTCAATGATATGTTTCAAGATAATCCCACAACCTGTATGACCAGAACTAAAAAGAATTCATTACTCATTTCACTTGACCAGAGTTAGCAAAAGCAAGCTTTTGAGAAGTTTTGGTTTGCTTTAAAACCAACTTGTAAGAAAAGCCACCCACTGGTAAAAGTTAATATTTATTAAGCATGTAACTTCATTTAATATTTACAACTAGCCTATGAGATAATTATGATCATTCTATTAAGATGAAGAAATTGAGGCTTAGAGATGTTAACAAAGTGTCTGTAGCTACGCAGCTCCTAGGACAGAAGTGGCAATAGCAATCTACAGTCAGTGGTTACTAAGAGCACTGGTTAGATATTTCCCACCACTGCCGTAGGGGCTGCAATTAGCCTCTGGGGAAACAAGATGGTTGAGGTTCAACAGAGGAAGGCAGACATGTGAACACTAAGTGAAACACTGCTTTATAAGAACTCTGCAAAGGGTTTAAAGGGGACACAAAAGAGAGGGACCTGTAGGAAGACAATGAATTGCTTGACTTCTACAAATAAACTAACTATAAAAGTCAATGCTTCTTTAAATAAAGAACACCAAAAAATGCATTTCCTGCCCTAACCGGTTTGGCTCAGTGGATAGAGCGTCGGCCTGCGGACTGAAAGGTCCCAGGTTCGATTCCGGTCAAGGGGGCATGTACCTTGGTTGCGGCACATCCCCAGTAGGAGGTGTGCAGGAGGCAGCTGATCGATGTTTCTAACTCTCTATCCCTCTCCCTTCCTCTCTGTAAAAAATCAATAAAAGATATTAAAAAAAAAATGCATTTCCTGGTCAACATACTTCCTTTTGAAAATATTAATTTGTTTTTATTCATGAAAACACATTATGGTATGTTACGCTGCTCTAATTTTAGAATATATAAGACCCACACACATTCATGGCACACATTTATGTATATACACATGTATATAAAATCTAGATTATAATGAATTATTTGGTTTGGGCAGGAAGGTGTACTTTGAACACAAAATGTTCTTGATCTGAACTGTCCCCCATCAGTGATAAAAATTATAGTTAAGAATGAAAGGAATTTACTTTTCTCTGTGACTCTTCTGAAGTAGCAGAAGAGCGTTTTAAGCTTCTCTGGTTTTCTTGAGGAACGTCCTTCAAACAACCTGAAAGAGACCAAAAACAAAGATTCACAAAGAACTAAATCTATATTACTACTCAGTAATAAAATAACTAATTCTTTCAGAAAGCAATTCTGTAATAATAGAGAACTGAAAACTGTTTGGATTCAAATGGCATCCGAAAGGACTGAAAGCAAGTAGAACCAGGCTTCTTAAAAGTTGTTCAAGTCAGCCCTAACTGGTTTGGCTCAGTGGATAGAGCGTCAGCCTGCAGACTGAAAGGTCTCAGGTTCAATTCCGGTCAAGGGCATGTACCTTGGTTGCGGGCACATCCCCAGTATGGAGTGTGCAGGAGGCAGCTGATCGATGTTTCTCTCTCATCAATGTTTCTAACTCTCTATCCCTCTCTGTAAAAAAACAATAAAATATATTAAAAAAAAAAAAAAAGTTGTTCAAGTCAGATGGTACTCTAATAACTCGTCTCTCCAGTCTATCTTCCTCCAGGGAGAAGGCACCACCTGGTCCCCCAAAGACAATTAAGCCAGTGAATTAATGCTTGGTTTTTTCCCAATGGCAAATATATATAATTCACAATATTACTAGGCAGTGAAATGATTGAACAAAGACAGTATCTGAAAAAGACTGCACATGATTGTTTGTGTTGGGGAGGCAAGAACAATAAGGACAATGACATGCAGTATAACAAGATGTTAGAGTAGAGGAATGACCAATCCTTGGAAATTAAACAAATACACTCTTTGCGTGGTAACCTGTTAAATAGCGCTATCCATCCGCCATCTGGTTTCCAGAAACCTAGACTTGTACTACTTTAGTTTTCTTTGAAATGATGTGGCATTGTTATTGGTAACACATTATGCAATTTATCCCGAGGGAAAGAAAAGAAGGGCTTTAGAAGCATTTGACCTGAGTAAGTAGTTCACTAAAAGATTTCAATCACAAAAGCATGCTTTTAGGCACAAGATCTACTTTTCCAAAAGCACTGAAAAATTAGAGAAATTCTGTGACTATAAATAAGGAGGTATTATTTATCTGCCTCTGGTCATATATCCTGGCTTTAAAACCAGAAATACTTCAAGTAAAAGTTCACTTTAACAAGCGTCAAAATGGATAAAATTTTTCACCAGAAAAGCATGTTTATATAACTATGCAGAAAGGAAAAAGTTAATTTCATGAGAAAATCCTATTGAGTAAATAAAATGAATTAGAAAAAGGGAAGGAAATACAGATTTCAAATGACCTGTTTTCAGTGATCTGAAATTCTGTATTCAGAGTCAATTTCTGAGAAAACAATTTATCTGAATACTTATCTCCTAAAAAGAATACTAATAATAGAAAGCATTTTAACCAAATCTAAAATCTAACCGATTTTTTAAAAGAATTGTGCCTATGTAATAATTTTTAGTCGCCTAACTTATTTTTCTAAAATGTTTATTACAAATATTCTTAAAAATCCAGCTGCCTGCCCCCCAAGAAAGGATATCTGACAGTGCAGTTTTCAGCTTAGTTTCTTCTGCAGTGTCAACCAGAATAGAGTTTGTTTAAATCAAAATGATGGTCAGAATAAAGAAGAAGCCACTTGGCAGTTTAATTAAACATCCTGTATGAAATAAATATGATTTACTAAATGAATACCTTGGAACCCATTGCAAAATCCTTTTCTAGGTTTACTCCTTAGTAGAGGGAAGCAGTATTAATATAAAGGCAGCCACCACCCTTTCTCAGAGATGAATTGAGGACTACACAATTCAGTTAAGGAGGAAAAAGTTCCACTTCCACAGAACTGTTGCACTACGAGAAGAAAATGGCTGCTGAACTTAAGAAATAATTTCCCAAAACATAAAAATATCCCTAATTTCTACATGAGATCAGCTATATGTAAAATCACATAAAATGTCACATATTTCATAACCATGATGACAAATTATTAACCTTAGGAGCCTCTTGGGACTGCAGATTTATTAACCTAAGGATATGACTTCCCTGAAAGATGATGTGGCTATTACCACCAACTACAAATGAGCACCACTGTTGATTTTGCAGGTCCAAACCTCAGAGGTACAAATCAAGCAGAACCTCAATGTATTCTGATTAATCATTGTGTGTGAGTTTCACAGCCTGATTTCAAATCACTATGTAACCAAATATGCTTTGCCATCTTCCTTGTGAAGCAAGGACGTGTGTGGGGGTTGGAGGCACAGAGGAAAGGGGGAGGTGGAAAGAAAGTCAGGGATGATGAAGCAGGTTTAAAACTTATGCCAATTCTCAGACTTCACTGCTGCGAATTTTTATAGTACTATGTATAGCCACCCAGATAAAATGAATTACCCTGGTATGGAAGCAAGTGAAAAATACCATAAAAACACAGGCAAACAGCATTAGTGAAAGTTACCAGAAGAGCGATGTATTATCTGAGGAACAGTTCTAGGGAGAAAGAAGGAAGACAAAGGAACTGAGGATGGAGCCAGAAAAAGGAGAGCGACAGAAAGACACTAGTACAGCAGGGAAGACTAAGAGGGAAGAAAGGGATAGACAGAATGGGGCTGGAGACCAAGGGAGAGTCTGAGAAACAAACTCACATGCAAAGACACTCAGAGAGACAAACACAGAGCCTTCAAGAGAGACAAGAGACTGGAGACAATTAGATTTCTCATACTAATCAAGCACCATCCAATTTTTCTTTTTTTACTTCCTAACACCAATTTTTTCTTTTAATTTAGATTTCCAGGTCCTGGGTACGTATATTTGAAGGCATATTTTGAGTCAGCAGGCATGCATGTAAACATGAACATAAATCATGCCATAATAATCCCTCTGCATATAGGGAAGACATTTTGGCATTTAACTGAATAATTACAGATTATTAAAGAAAGCAAACAGGAAAAGTTTGTCAGGCAACCTCACCTTTGTTCTAAAAATACTTTCTATTTTCAAGGGAGTAAGTCAATCAGAGTTGATACTTATTAACTGGTATTTTTCTTTCCATACATAGAAACATCTGTAATAATAAAGAGCTAATATGCTAATTAGACCAAATGGTGGAACGACCTTCCGGAATGACCAGTGGGCAGGGCAGCAAGGCTGTGGGGCCACAAGGCAGCCAGGGCCAGGAGGGCCGAGGTAGCCGGGGCTGCGAGGGCCGAGGCCCTTGCACAAATTTTGTGCATCGGGCCTCTAGTAGTTTCATAAAATCTTTCCCTGAATGACATATTGATAACATTACTGGAATTGGATTACACACACACACACACACACACACACACACACACACGCACACACACACGCACACACGTGATTTCAAGTTAAGGATTAATTCCATTAGTACACGGTAAATCAAACCCAAAGCACTATAACCTCCACTATAAAATGGAAGCAAATGATAATCTGAAACCCAGCCAGAAAGTCCTTTCTGCCATATGGCCCCAGCAGCATTTTCAATCCAGAAGAGGCAGATGTAAAAGCCTCCTGGGCTGACCACTGCTGCAGCACACAATTAATCTCTGACCATCAGTTTCTAAGCAATCTTAGAAGCATCGATGTTAATCACATTGGGAGCCTTTATATGAATGTTTAGGCCCTGAAAGGCAAGCAGGAGAAAAGGTCACGGATATTTAACATAACTAAGCAGGGCTGGAAGAACATAACAATAATTTAAAAAGGAAGACTTATTCCATTTATTGACGTCAGCCTCCCACCACAAACTCTTAACCATTTTTCTTATTCAATCAACTAGCTAGTCAGTCATACCTCTTTTGAGACTAAATATGCATGAGTGCTCACACACGCATAGATTCCAACTGCCAGAAACTATAATCATAAATAGCAACTATGCAAAAATGAAAACACAACAACATGTTCCATAATCAGCTTACCAAATGGCTCATCAAATTAGGTACTTGATCTTTCATAGCCACATAAAAAAGGGGAACTTTGGGTTGTGTTCTGTTTCAGGAGCACACTCAGAGCATTTTGTTCTTGAGAGGAAGCAAGACATAATGAAAGAGCACTGAGTTTGAACAGAAGACAATATTCAAGTCCCAGTTCTGCTGACAAGTCATTTACTCAAACTGAACCTATTAGGATAAAGCTTCCCCACCTAGAAAAGTGCATCGATAGAATCAAAGTGAGCTGCTGTCAATAGACTGCATCAATGATCATGTATAATCCAGGTTCTTGATTGCTAGTTTAGGCTTATAAAAACCCCTGCCACCCCAGTGAGAGGCAAGTGCAGACATCCTGGCTGCTGAAGAGTCCCTAAAACGACTATATAGACTACCACGGGCTTAATCTGCCATAGTTAATTTTCAGTGTTCTGGTGACCAAAAGAACATCTGTCAGCCAGGAAGACAAGAGTAAGCCTGTTTCAAATCATCAGCAGACCTGCTTAAATTCTAATTTGGTAAAAATGCTACTGGGATACTGTAAGTTTCAATTTCTCATGGTCACTTTGGATTGACAGATGGCTTTGGTTCATTTTACAGATCAATAATTATTTCTAAGGGTAGTTCTAATTTCTTATTAGCTCTGAGGTAAGAAGTATTAATACAGTTCATTGAAAGGAGGCTATATAGTAGAGTGATTAAGGTAGTGGTTCTCAGCCAAAACCGGTTTGGCTCAGTGGATAGAGCGTCGGCCTGCGGACTGAAGGGTCCTAGGTTCGATTCCGGTCAAGGGCATGTACCTAGGTTGCGGGCACATCCCCAGTGGGAGATGTGCAGGAGGCAGCTGATCGATGTTTCTAACTCTCTATCCCTCTCCCTTCCTCTCTGTGGAAAATTAATAAAATATATTTAAAAAAAAAAAAAAAAGGTAGTGGTTCTCAAACTTCCTAATGCCGCGACCCTTTAATACAGTTCCTCATGTTGTGGTGACCCCCAATTTCATTGTTACAATTTGAACATAATTAAAGCATAGTGATTAATCACAAAAACAATATGTAATTATATATGTGTTTTCCGATGGTCTTAGGCGACCCCTGTGAAAGGGTCGTTCGACCCCCAAAGGGGTCGTGACCCACAGGTTGAGAA